TAAATGTATGGGCAGCAGAATCTTCCTGATCACAAGTTAAAATGATTAAAAACCGCCTGTACAGCGTGGCAACTATGACAACATCCCCCCCCATGGGATAATCTGTGCGGGAGGCTTATGTTGAGCAGTGGACTTTTATAGGCTGTAATATAATGGATGGATAGAATGGATGTAATAGAATGGCTGTTTATGGACAGATAATTGGTACCTATATACACTTGGCTATAGGTGCGTTGTTACTTTTAAGATCTTGAGGCCAATTAGAAAGCTTTCATCATTACAGCCTTTCACAAGTCCAATGCTGAACATAGGCCTCCCCTTTAGATTGGCCTTATAATTGTGACTTAGATTTAGCATGGTTGCCACGCTGGCAGGAGCGTAATTTTCTTAATTGGAATCTTTGGGAGTGCCAAAAATCTTTACACTAGCTGGTTGGTCGGTGGACCTAAGGGTTCCCGAGTTCGATTCCCAGGTCAATCCTTGACCCTTGACCCTATTGTGCGAGATATTATACTAGGTGGACTGTATACGCGGATGGCTTCTTATGTCTCAACAAGATGGCGGACGTTGCACGCGGCACCTTGGACAATGCACTCGGTCTTCCAAATCTATTGCTTGCCAAGGTTAGGATGGAATTCTACTTGAGCACATTAGGAGAAACAAAATGGGGCTGGTTAATTAACAAAACAAAATGCTCAAGTAGGAGCAAAATTACAGGAAAACACACTTACCGGGGTGTGATTCTGATGCGGCGGACGATGCTTCCGTTGCGGTGATGCGACGTGAGGTGCGTTCTTCTGGAGCGCCCCAGAGATGCGATCCAGGCCAGTGGTACGAAGGAAGAGAGCGGTGCGCGACGATATCTCACACTATGGGAGGCGGTTACTTCCGGGACGCGACTGTCCCAGGTGGTGCGGTTCAGACTAGCGGCGCGTGGCAAGAGACCGCTCGAGGGCAGCGCGCGAGCTTATATTGCCTCGGCTTTCCCACCAATGCACCTCGGTCGGGCGCGCGTCTCATTGGTCGAAAGAATCGTGTCACCTTCTAGACTCCCCCCTTTCCTCTTTCAGTGTGTACGGAAGGGACATTAGGTCAAAGGATGGATAAACACTTGGCAAATATACCTTCGAACAAAATTAAAATACACGAATCGTTTTCGCGTAACCACTAGCAACGTTCATTTCCTTTAGTTCGTTAGTCGAATGAAACTGTTCGTAAAATTTGTTCATTTGCAAATAAACTTCGATGCTACTGTCACAAAAAAAAAAGGTTAAGAAAATCATTTTTCTATCACTAATTTTTTTTTAATATTCACATATATTCTCGTTTTTGTGGGTTTAGATAATTACGTTTAATTTTCAGTTTAAAAAGTTTAAGTTGAAAAATAATTAAGTAAAGAAGTGATTTTTTATCTCATACTGTTATTTTTAAATTTAGTTGCTTTATTTTCTTAAATTTACAATTTAACTTAGTATTATAAAGATAAGAAGAAAATAACATAAGTGGATGAAAAATACCTCTCCAAATATAAAATATAAATCTTAAAATTCGGTCACTCTGCAAGCTTTTCTTAACTAACGACTAACCTGAAACAAATTATCAAATGCGTTGTCACTCCTGAGAACTATTATGGAATATTTTGTTACCGGGTAAAAAAGATAAAGAACCAAAAATTGCATTATATTGCTACTTAGCACCAGTATTTTGTGCAAGCATTTTACTCCCCTATCATTTGTCAGCACAGCCATAGTATGCTGCAACGTGTCTTTACCACGTGTAAGACTCCTAAACTTATATCTTAATTTTTCGTTTTTTACATAGAAGAAAGGGCAAACCAGCATGCGGCTCATCTGATGGTAAATGTCGACCGCCGCCTATGAACAACTGCAACACCAGACGAATCGCAGGTGCGTTACTGACCTTTTAAAAAAGAGTAGGCTCTTCTCTTCAAGGTCCTTAACCCGCATCGGTTCGGAAAAATCGCTGGTGGTAGTCAATGCCACAAGGAAGTTGTGCGAAGACGAAAACTTCTTGTATATCACACAATGATGGACCGTCAATCATTCAGATGTTTTGGTATGGATCGTATATACCTCCATAGTACCAGCAGCAGCAGCACCAGCATAGTAAAATAATTATTCGTTATAAATAGTACGAAGTACCAGGATAACAGAAATCACAGTGAGTCACTTCTTGTTATTACTAAGCTATCTTGTTTGTTACGCCACCACTAATTCGCCTAGTCGCAGCTGACTGCCTTTGATTCGCTTCTCAAAGACCCAACCCACTTTTATTAAGTGCATAAGCAGTGGGCGGAGTCGGGGCGGAACTAACTACCGCCACAGAATAAAAAATATTACAGCTCCTGCGATAGATTGCATTTAAACCAGACTTGCAAATATATACCGCCGTTTTATTAAGTGGACATACGATCTGTTTTCACAATGTTTAAATCGCCTCCAAAAACGTCGAATAAACGGAACACACCCTCACGTCCCGATTCTGATATACGCAAATTGTGTTCTGAAGAAGGCTTAGCGCCTGACGAATTTATAGCACGCAACGTTACTTTATACGTTTATAGTAACGCAACGAACAAAACGTCGATATCCATCAGGCGCTGGAGCTCCTGAATTTCTAGAGGAGTTAACCACAATTAAGAGCGATATAACAAACGATATCAAAAGCATGATCAAAGAGTTGTTGCCTGCACAAACTTCAAGGATGGATAAATTATTATCCTCTCTCTCACCAATTCAGTCGTGTAATAACGTTAATAAGTTATTATTATTATTATTATTGGGGTATGTATATAATTTTTATTTATTATTATGTGTGGGGTATCTATATAGTTTTCTCATCTAGTTGGGATGTATAAATATATAATTATAAACGAAAATGAAAGGATAAATATACACAAATATCAATAAAATAAAATAAATACAAAAATACATAAATAAATAGAAGCCCAACCAGATGGAAGCCCTCGGCAGGGGAGGAGAAAGGGAAAGAAACCGGCGGACGATGCGGGCAGTATCAAGGAGCACCGCCTTCTGCATTTGAGCCCGGAGCGGTCCGTCACGGAGTTCCAGTCGCCTCAGATGACCAGAGAGGCTAACTGGGATTAGCCCATTCGCAGAGACGACTACAGGAATAATTTCGGCCGGCAGACCACCCCACATGTCCGTCACCTCGTGAGCCAGGTCCAGATATTTTGATTGCTTATCTGTTTCGGCTCTCACGAGGTTCTCGTCATACGGGATGGTAATATCGACCAAAAATATCCTTGACTGTGCCCGGTCCATCAGCACAATATCAGGCTTATTCGCAAGAATAGTCCTGTCTGTGATGATGGCCAGGTCCCAGTAGAGTCTGGCGCGGTCATTTTCGAGCACGGCTTCCGGCAAGTACTTGTAATACGGCAATTTCCGTTCCACGAGACCGTATTTCAGCGCGAGTTCCTGGTGTAGAATTCTGGCTACTAGGTTGTGCCTGTGCAAGTACTCAGAGTTAGAAAGCGCCGAACAACCGGAGATGACATGCCTAAGTGACTCCCCGGGATGGCGACAAGCTCGACAGACGTCGACGGTGCCATCCTTTAGGATGTATCTCCGATAGTTGTTGGTCTTAATAACCTGATCCTGTATTGCACGGACAAAACCCTCGGTTTCCCCGAAGAGGTCACCGAAACGTAGCCAGTTGAGGGGAGGCGACTGTATCTACGAAGGGCTCATGTAGAGCCTTGTAGTACCTCCCGTGGAGCTCCTTCTCCTACCATACGGTCTCCCCGGTCGGAATTGCTAAGCACTGCTGGGTCCTGCCATTGCTCGTTGGCTAAGGATAGAGGGGTAAGCCCTTTATCACTAGAAATGACGTCATTATAGAATGGATCATCCGATCTCGCCAAGAAGTACTGACGGAGACTGCACACTTCGCGATTATGCATGGTGAGCGCGCTCAGAAAGCCACGCCCACCATACATTCGCGGCAAGTACAGCCTCATTACCGACGATCTCGGATGATGCATCCTATGGGACGTCATGGTAGTGCGGACTTTTCTATCCAGGGCGTTAAGCTCAGTCTGAGTCCACCTGAGTATGCCAAAGGTATACATGAGGACAGGCATGACCCAGCCGTTATATGCGTGTGTCTTATTCACACCGGACAAAAGGCTGTTAAGCACTTTGGTCAAGCGTGCATAAAACACGTCGCAAACTGACTGTTTCATACCAGCCTCATCGACACCGATGTTCTGTGACATACCCAGGTATCGGTATGTTTCAGCCTCGGTAAGGGTCCTTAAGTTGACGGGCATAGACAAGTCTATGCCCTCAGAGTTAGCAACCCTTCCCCTTTCAACATGGAGGACCGCACACTTATCCGTCCCCAGCTCCATTCCAATGGAACTGCTAAATTCACAAGTAATGTTTAGCAGTTCCATAAGATGGGAGCGACTGGAGGCGAATAACTTGAGGTCATCCATATAGAAAAGGTGGGTCACTTTTGTCCCTCCTCTCCGTAGCTGAAATCCCCTCCCGAAGCCCTCCAGTAAGGTACTGAGAGGGTTAAGAGAGAGGCAGAACCAGATTGGACTCAGACAATCGCCCTGGAAGATACCCCTTCTTATCCTTATGTGGTTCTCCGCAGCCGTCATCCGCTCGCCCAGATGACAAAGGATCGTACTCCACTGCCCCATACACTGCTCGAGGAAGTCTCTAACTGTACAGTCAATCTTGTACAGCTCGAGGACCCTCTTTAGCCATGTATGGGGCACCGAGTCGAACGCCTTTCTGTAGTCTATCCAGGCGGCAGAGAAGTTCCGACGGTTGCGTTTCACTACTTTGCCTATGACCGCGTCAATAAGGAGTGGTTCCTTAGTTCCACGACCACCGCCCCGACATCCATTTTGAGCGCGTGACATCACCTGGTTTAGCTCCAGGTGACGAGTGATTCTCGCGCTCAAAATGGATGTCAGTGTCTTATATATGGTGGGTAGACACGTGATGGGGCGGTATTTGCTCGGGTCTGTGGTATCTTGATCTTTAGGAACCAAGTGAGTGATCCCAGTAGTGAAGAGGCTCGGGAGTGACTTCTGGTCGAGAGCCTCTTGAAACTGTCGGGCGAGCACAGCGTGACACACTACGAACCCCTTCAGCCAGTAATGATGCAGCCCGTCGAGCCCCGGACTTTTCCAGTTCGGGGCCCTACGGACCGCCTCAGCCACGTCTTCTGGCGTTATGGTGATGGGGTCCATAGGCGTAACACTCGCACCCTGGCTCGCGACAACTTCCATCCAAAGGCCCTCACTGTGGTTTACGGGCTCTGACCACAGGCCACGCCAGAATGCGATAATGTCAGCCTGATCCGGTCCTTGGCCCGCTACACATACCTTTGGTCGCTCCAATAATTTATAGAGCCTCTTCTGATCACTCTGGAAGAGACGATTCTGGTTGAACCGCCTTGACCCCTCGGAAAATCGTCGAATCCGCTTCCCCCAAGCAGCGATCTTTTCCTTCAGGTCGTCTATGCGCTCCGTTATTTTCTGCGTGATATCCGGCTGGGACAAACTGATATTTGTCCCAGCAAACGCCATCCTAACGGTGCGCATAATCCTCGGTCTATTATTACCCGACCTGAAGCTTGTCAGTCTGCCGATAAGGGCCCTTGCCTTTGCGATACGGTCCTCGATTCTTTTCCTCCAGGCTGGGATGGCGTTACTTTGTGTAGTAGCGCGTCCAGCCATGGGAAGTTTGGCGCCAATAATACGGCAAACTGCCACTGCGGCGCCAAAGAGAATCGAGTCCGTCTCGCAAAGGTCCCGGCTGGCTTCCAAATAGGTCACCAGCATTGGGTTAAGAGCCCTCACGACAGCCCGATTTCGCTTGCTTAAGGGTATGCGGGGGAAGTCGCGGTCGATTTTCGAGAGGGGTGCTGCGCGTTTCCAAAATCGCCTCTTCCAATATACTCCTCATTTGCTCTAGTTCGTGGGAGACTATTTCATCATCGTTCGAATCAACCAACAACTGGAAGATCCATGGCGGCTTCCACGTGTGGATGCTGGTCTGTCGAATGTGGAGCTGCATCTCCAGCCATAGCCGATTCATTCGACGACGGAATAGCCTCACGTCGTAGTCGTTCGAGTTCGGCATCATCAAATATTTTCGAGCGCATGATGTACCGAACTCGGTCTGCCAGGTTTTGTTCCGTGACGGGGATAGACGGCTTATTATTATTATTATTATTATAACAATAATTTCGTTATTGAGGAAAAAATATTGACTACATACATTTGCATCTGCGCCTGAACTAAGCAATAAGCTTGTATCAATATTATTTCAATGTACGAAAAATAAATCTAAATATTTGTTAGTTTTTTTAAGCGTGGACTGTAAACTGTTTCTTACATATATTAGTCATGTGTGTGTTTGTGTATATGTGAGGAAAAGGGTGAGTAGTATTTATTAAAGTAATAATTATAATATGAAGACATCATTTAATGCTGTGATGTCCTCCAGACCGAAATTTGGTCACCTCGGCCAGCCTTAGTGGAGACTACCCATCGCCACAGGGCAGAATTATAATGCCCAAGTGTTTGCACAAGCGCAGGTGCACTCTCTATTTCTTCACTCTCACAGTACGATCGGTCGGTTGACCGACACGACCGGAGAGAGATCAGGCACAGGACCAAAGGCTTTACATGCTTAATTTAACTATACTTTAATATTCTAAATATAAACTACTTTTCTCTATTTTGTTCGTACATCCCATTCTACCCTGTGTTTGCAAACAATAGATCCATCGTCACATTTCCATCGTCTTTGAAACAGGTAAAATAGCGATTCATTTCGTATGCCGGCGGCCAGAAGTGCCGTGCTCACTAATTTATTTCAGTAATTCGTCTGGGGAACGAAGTCCATGCATCAATTATTCATCGATAAGTACAAAATTCCAAAATGTGCATGCAAATGCATCCGAAAACGTTTTCTAACTAGAGGGCTGTACGGTTTGTGTTTGGTTAATAGAGCTTTTATAAATTATTGTGGACAGTTTATTCTTCAGATCTCCCATGAAAATCTGAATTGATACTTATTGTGTACGATATGCAATAAATGTGACACTAAGCAATCTTAAATAAATAAAATGTTGCAGATTTTATGGATACCCGAAGTTTGGTTCTGTTTAACGTCCTGATGTCATATTTAAGAAAGTGCACCTCCAACTTGACTTTGTATTATTTACCCGTAAATATAAGAAATCGCTAAGTTATCTACTAATATAATTTTTGAATCACGGGAGGTGAGGTTGAAGCCTCAGCAAATTCAATGTTTCTTAGTTAATTGTTTACAGTTTCTTTGTTAATTATTTGTTTCAGGTTTACCTGCCCTGTACTGATATTGTTTTCCTGTATTGTTATAATATTTCCATAGGATTAGGAAATAAGATTGTGCAGATAATAACTGAAGTTGTTTAAACAAGTGAGGGTGAGAAACCAACACACAGTCCACCTGATGGTAAATGTATGTATGCCTAGGCCTATATACACCTACATCGATCATCGACGAGGAATCAAAATGCAGGTTTGTCACTCCCGAGCATTCATAGTGAATTCTTGGTTATATACACACAAAACAGCAATATTTTGCTGCTTTTGACGCTGGTTCTTCCAATGATCACCCACTCCGGTCGAGCCGACGTATTGGTGCTGCAGTTATAAACACGGAAATAATAATTTCTGTTAATTTACTCACCCATAGTTTTAAGTGTAGTAACAAAATGGATGTATTTACTGAATAATGAATAAATAAATAAATAAATATAATAATCGGAATCTTCAGCGTCAACATATCGAGTGACGTGCAGTTTCGTGGTCACTTGGAAGAGAAGGCCAAATTGGCCTCTAAAAAGCTTGGCGGGCTCAACAGAGCGGGGCAGTAACTCATACCGGCACACCGCCTGCAACTTTACAAGGCGCAGGTTTGGCTGCACATGGAATACTGTTCCCATCTCTGGGCTGGGGCTTCCCAATGCCAGCTCCTTCCACTTGACCGCATTCAGCGCAGAGCGGCTCGAATCGTCGATGACCGAGTGCTTTCCGATCGGCTCGATTCACTGGCGCTGCGAAGAGATGTTGCATCTCTTTGCATTTTCTTTCGCATATACCATGGGGAGTGCTCTGAGGAATTGTTCGGATTAATCCCAGCCGCCAAATTTCGTGAACGCACCACGCGGCAAACGTCCCGATACCATCCACACCATCTGGATGCTTGGCGGTCCACCACTGTAGGTTTCAAAAGGAGTTTTCTTCCGCGTACAACCTCTCTGTGGAATAGTTTACCACCGGTGATTTTTCCGGACCGATACGACCTAGAGACCTTCAAAAAAAGAGCTTACTAAAGGGCCAGCAACGCACCTGCAATTCCCCTGGTGTTGCGGTTGATCATAGGCGGCGGTAGTTACCTAACATCAGATGAGCCGCATGCTCGTTTGCCCCCCTCTTCTATAAAAATAAAATAAAAATAAAGATTGGTAGCGTAGCTCTACTAAAAAATAAGTTAAATTTGATATGAAACAGTTTCAAAGAATTTTCTAAAAGGCGATTATATATATGATTATCTGTTCCCCGCGGTTTCATCTGCATCGTAATTATTTCGATTGGATTTCGTGAGCTTAATTTTTTTCTCTTTTTTCCAGAATAAAAGTAGCTAAAGTTACTTTTTTTTTTTTTTTTTATAGAAGAGGGGGCAAACGAGCATGTGGCTCACCTGATGTTAAGTGACTACCGCCGCCCATGATCAACCGCAACACCAGGGGAATTGTAGGTGCGTTGCCGGCCCTTTAGAAAGGAGTAAGCTCTTTTCTTGAAGGTCCCCAGGTCGTATCGGTCCGGAAAAATCACCGGTGGTATTATTCCACAGGAGGTTTACGCGGGCAGAAGAAAAACTCCTTTTGAAACGTACAGTGGTGGACCGCCAAGCATCCAGATGGTGTGGATGGTATCGGGACGTTTGCCGTGTAGTGCGTTCACGAAATTTGGCGGCTGGGATTAATCCCACAATTCCTCAGAGCACTTCCCGTGATAGATGCGATAAAATACGCAAAGAGATGCAACATCTCTTCGCAGCGCCAGTGAATCGAGCCGATCGGAAAGACTCGGTCGTCAACGATTCGAGCCGCCTGTGGATGCGGTCAAGTGGAAGGACTGGTACTGGGGAGCCCTCCTTATAACATCAACTATCTGCCGGTGAAAGTACCGTCAAAATTAGTACAGTCATTTTGGAGATCAGCTAGAACAAACAGACAAACAAACAGACAGACAAACATTCAAGATATTGTTTTTTGTTATAATTATCGTATAATGCTTCACTAAGTAAAAGGCTGTTGTTTTGACATTACAAACAGACACTTCCATTTAATTTATTTGTATAAATATAAGAATATGAGAATATATGATATATATGAAAGCTTGCGACAAGCTTTCGTATTTTTAAAATCCATTGTACATTTTTACATATCTTGAAGTTTGGTCAACTTCTAATGATTGAATGACTATTTCGTACACATAACTTAAATAAAATAAGTGTTGGAAAAAGAAGATAGCCGAATTAAAGGTAAATTATATGTACCACAATAAAGACTTAATATGTACAGCAAAAGTTGTTTTTGTATGGCAATTAAAATATTTAACAAGCTACCAGAAAATTTACAACTATTAAATATTAATAAATTTAAAAGAACTTTCACTCAATGGCTTCTTGACCGTTGTTTTTACACCGTAAAAGATTTTCTGACATATAAAATTGAGTAGGTACGAAAGTGACACTATATGTATGTTGATTCAATTAAGTGTATTTCCCTAAATCTATGAATTGTGAATAACTTTGCTTTGAACAAGTTTCAATAGAGATGGTAATATTATTTATTTAAAAAAAAAGCCTATCAGTCATAAAAATGTCAATGTTTGCCAACTTCGAATGTATGTAATTACTATTCGGAATAATTGAAGCCTTAGTATTAAGTTATATTTCACAATTTATAAATTATGTGCTGTAATTATTGTTATTAGATTGACATAATATTGTTATATTGACATCTTATTGCTGACATTGTAAAAAACTAAGAATTGATAATTGATAATCGTGCTGTTTCTACGCCGATACCGGTAAGACATGTAAATGACCCTAAAAGTTATAATGCAACAACTTATTGTACCATGTCTCTGAAATAAATAAATAAATTGTGTGGTGTTTGATACTCCCATCGTCAATTACGTTCAAATAAGTGCAGAAAGCAGGCAACATAGTATTATGTTACAATTACATAAACACTCACGCCTGTCACCCATATGGTTAGGCAGAGACTACAGACTTCCATTTGGCACAATCCTGATGCACCTCTCTCGCCTCCTTCACATCCATATATCTACGCATACATGCTCGTCGGTTAAGGGTACTCCTAATTTGGCCTGTTTTCAATAAATCGTCAATTTGGTCGATAAATTTTCGCCTAGGACGCCCCTTTCCGACTCTGCTATTTACTTCTGCAACATAAATTTTCTTTGTCACTCTTTCCTCATTCATTCTTTCCGTATGACCAAACCACCGAAGCATTCTTTTTCTTAATCCTGGTTACAACATCATCTTGCAAATCACAATCTTCTCTTATCACACAATTTCTCACCCTGTCATCCAGATTTAGCCCTAACATACTCCTTAACGACCGCATTTCTACTGCGTTCATTCTACTCTCGTACTTCTTCTGCCACACCTAACTTTCACCACCATACGTTAAAGTAGGGACCAACACAGCACTTTTAATTGCCATACGTGCCTTTTTCATGAATTTTGACTC